ATATATATATATATATATATATATATATATATATAAATAAATAAAGGTTGATGTGAATGTTACTCATTTTTGTATCATTAAAATAATATCACAGATAATATCATAATACCTCTGCAGGATTTCGAATATAGGTTGATTGTAAAGCAGGTTATCAACACACTTCAAAGCCGGTACATTAAACCGACAGAAGGATGTTAATTTTGTTAATAGCTTCATTTTGGCTCTATAATTAATCTTATTTCCCGAAAGACGACTAATTTAGGAAAAATTACCCATGCATATAACTAATAACTAACGGGAGCTGTCTTGGGTTTCCCACACATTCCAGTAGAAATGGTCGAGGTTAATTTTGGCATGACCTGTAAGGGGAACTGCTATGTAAAGAAAAGAGGTAACTTCTATTTTCGGCAGTTCTACCCGAATGGCTTAACATTTTCCCATTAAAGTTCATAACATTCTCTTTAAGGCAACTTGTATAGGCATTGTTGTCTGTGCTCCTGTTAAGGAGGGCCGTCTCTCGAATGAATATTTACGACATGACTCGTTTCTCCCTGCAATTATGCATTTCTTTTTAACCTTTGTCCCCCACTCCTTTTCGGCGTGGTAGCACAGGGGCTTGGCGCATTGGTTTCGAATCCCATGTAAGGCATGATTGGACGTTAGTTGCGTTAAAGCATGATAGTTCTTTTCCAATAGCATCCATTTACTTTCCCCTCCATCAGGAACGTGTGTAGCGAAGACCAGGTGCACGGTTTACGCGCCTACGGAGAACAGATCTCTCAAAAAGTGGTCTGAAATGTTCTCGGTCTTGTCTCTAAATCGTAACATTGCTCACGTGATTGTTTGATTCATGCAGGTACACATTTTAGAAGGCTTCATGCGAAATTGCAAATCGTTCTAGCCAACAACTGGCTGTAGGTAGCTCTCTTAAACATAAGCGATGCATGCACTCAATGAAATGGAGAAAATGGAGTACCGTGCAGTGAAAAATACTTTGTAAAAGGTTTGACGTCGACAGAATTGAATTCAAAGATCATAAAAGAGTATGGCGACTCTTCAGTTTCCACCAACAACGACTAGGCAGCCGCGTATAAACGTGGCAGTGGGTGTATCTAGGTGACGCACGTTAAAAGCGTCTGAAACGTGCAACAACACCGGAAATCCAAAATTTACTCATTGGTGGTATTTGAATTTCTGGTATTGATTGAGCTGATGACTTGAAAGAACGGCGCACGGAGGTGCGTGAAGTTGCCAAGACGGTAGGAATTCAAAGCCAAACGTCGGTCACATTTTGCACGACGAAGTGCACGCGAGGAAGCTTTGCGCACGATGGGGTCCGCGTGGTCTCGGCGGATCAAAACGCATTAGCATCAAACTCTCTCCGATCAGCGCCCGACTCGTTGTAAGAACAGTTATTTTTTGCTTCGATGTGAGACAATAATAAAACATGGACACACCAAAATCATAACAATTCATACAGTGGATATACAATAAGTTTTTCAGCTCCGAAGAAGGCTAAAATTGTACTATCGGCGGGAGAGGTGATGCCATTTGTGTTTTAGAATGCAAAAGTATCTCTGTTGATCGATTATCTTGAAAGAATATCAATAAGTAGGGAATGCTATTCTAACCTTCTAACGAAAGTGGATGCAAAAAGAGACCCGGCTTGCAGAAGAAAAACTGTCATACAGTAGTGCCGTAGCGATCTAGGACCGAAGGATCGTGGGTTCGAGTACCGCCTCCGGAATGGTTGTATTTGTGTTCGTCCCGTCACCCCCAAATCATGCACTGGTACATGGTGGTCGCTAATGACCTAGATAATGCAAAATTGTTGTTGACAAAAGATGTTGATCAATTAATTCACCGGGGAAGGAGATATCAAGCTGTTTCACGGATAACTGAAAAATTCGAAACGAAATGTTTATTTGAAACTGAGAAACACATTACACAACAACTGTCTCCCTTCGTCACAATTACGAAACACAATCTTAGTTTGCCTGTATTATGTTCCTTTTACCATTAAATTATTTAATATTAGATATTGAAATATTTTACTTCTTTGGCGCAGACACTCAAAATTAACTATAAACACCTTTTAACATTTAAAAAAGGACAGGAACTACATTTGTAACTTTAGTATTCCAACCTAAAAATGCGCAATTGTTCGTTAATGTTTTCAGATCCACATTGGTTTAAATAGTAGTGATTTACAACTTTGTTTTGTAATCAAATCATCTCAAGGAGACGCCATTTTGTGCTCGGAACAACCTCGCAAGCCGTTTCAGCACTTCTTGTTGATTTATCGGTGGCCACTGTCTCAAATTACAATCTAGCTGTTTTATTTCGTAGGAAATCTCTCTACTTAGGCACTTATGCTAACCTCAGTCAGAGCCGACTCAAATTTCAATCAACCATTCCATCACTTCAGTATATGTTCCTGTCCTGTCAGACTTCAAATATCGCATTCTGAGCGAGATTAATTTAATGCAAAAATTGGAATACTCCAAATGTTTTTCAAAAAAACTCTTGAGATTATAATGGGATATTCATCCTTTATTTTCAATGACAATCAAATACACATTTTCAATTAGAAAACCTTTCTTTATTGATTTACGCATACATTTATTCATTTCTTTACTCATTTGATGCTGTCATTCGAAAACAGGTTTGATTTTTTTGTGTTCGAAAGACACCTTCAAAAGAATGAGTGAATAAATAAATAAATGTTTACTAATAGGAAACCTGATTGTCATTAAAAACAAAGGATAGCTTTCTCGTTATAATCATGAGTTTTATTTAAGGTTTAACCTAATGAAAACTATAAATAAAAACGCTCTTATGCGACATTTAATAAGAAAATTCGATTATTTCTCATCGCATGGGCTAGTCACTTTTGAACAATATTCCAACATTGATTTTATTGAACATCATGGTAATTGTTAGCACACTGAATTGCGTGAAGTCGTAGACTTCCGCGGCCAGAGTCATGTGGGTGATCTGGGTTGCCCGGGTGACGCCGCGTCGAAGGCTGAGTTGCTGAGAGGCAATGAATTGCATCGCCCTGATGAGAATGGGTATAGGTAGGTCGTTTATTATTGTTCGTCATTGTTTCCAGATTTCATGCGGCAAAAAGTAACATTTAATAATAATTTCAGTAAAAGTACCATTAAATAGCTTAAAGTAAAATGAAATGTATGTTGAAAACCCATTTTCACCTCAGTTTATTCCATATAGTTAAGATATAATAATGCCTATTTTTGCTTTTGAAGAGCCTATTCAGAACACTAAAATGGCAATTGATGTTTTTTCTCAAATTCGAAAACTATTAAGTTAATCATCAACATTTGGTAATTTCTGATGAAACAGGATATTTGATGTACCAAAAGTCGCCGCACAATGTATGGTGACAATAAAAAAGGGTATTACAGCACGTTTTCGGAAATGCATTGTTGTGGGGTTGGCTGAGCGTTTTGTGCGCGCTCCAGTACATAATTACATGCGACTATGACATAAGTACTTGCGTCATCGTGCATCCGCCTTAAGGTGCCTTTAATGCAATAGATGTTCCCAACATTGCGCAATGGTTACAATGCACACGTCTTTTTAAAATTGTATACGAGGCCCACTGCACACTTGCGATGGAATAGTCAGAGTGGCCTGCCCCAAGAGAGAGGTGCCGCCTTGGTATCGAATGCCGGACACGAATTCAAGTTCTGCTTCAAGACGTTCTGTCTAGTAAGTTGTCCTGGTGAGTGGGCTCAACCCTCACCACACCACTGACTTCACTGGCCCAAAACGTAAAATTCGAGAGCATTCTAATTTTTGAAATTTCTGCAAGTACAGAGCGCCAGCAGTGTCTCTCCGCAGTGATACCGGTGACAGTGCTAGCAACAGAAATCATGTTCACAATCATAACAGATACTGGAAGTGTTGTTCCCTTCACTTTTTCCCCAGGAATCCCAGGAAGCAATTTTCAGAACTTAAAACGAGAGGGAAGCAACCACTTTTGGCCCCGTTTTCCCTTCAACTTTTCACTTTCACTTTCTTATGTTATAAGACATATTTTATTAGTCAGTGAATAAAACACTAAAGAGAAAAAAATTATAACTTTGATGATACAATTAATAAGTCCAATAGAATTATGTTAAACTAATTACATGGTTGCCAGATGGCTCGGAGTCTCTTCCCCAAATTAGCAACCATTTCCAAATTGGCAGATAAAAAGAAAAAGAGAAAAATCAGGAACTGAATAGTTACGCAAATAAAATGTGTATTACGTTGCGCTGCAGGACCCCTTTCAAAATTTCCAGGGAGCTCGTCCCCCCCCCTCTCTGGCCTCACGCCTTTGTACTCGTCTTATATTGAAGCCCTTTATTGTCGTTTGATGAGGCCTTCC